CTGCTTCTGAAATCTTGCCAAGAAAACTGCAGGGACTTTCCAGGCAGTCGCCAGGAGTCAACACTGGCTCGAAGGCTCAAGGGCAACAAAAAAGGGGGGGGGGGGCAGATGAGGCTTTAAGAACATAAGAAGTCAGACAATTGGTCCATTTGGCTCAGTATTGCCTGCATTGTCTGTTGCTCTTCAAATGTTCAGAGTAGAGCCTTCCATAACCATGGATCTTCTGTTACTGAGTTGTAGTTTTTAATGGCCACTTGTTTATAAGATGGTAACTGCATCTGTCTCAGCTGTAGCATGTTTGGACTAGTACTCGTGTTCCTTGGTAAAAGACAGCATGAAATCCCCACACAAAATTCATTTCTAATAGTTGTCCTACAGTTAGACCATATACCTACCCATAAATGTCAAGGAACAAAAACTAAGAAATTTTGTTTCTACGTGAAAGCTATTGTATGTCATTTAGTAGTATCCTGTTAGAGGCTCTTCATGTCTAATATGAAAGTATACATCAAATTAGTATTTCCTTAAACATTCCTCAAATTATTCACTGACATTCATGTACTGAAGATTCCTTGTTCTATGTTTCCTTATATATCTGAACATCTAATTTCTAATATTCTAACAACATTAACTATTATGGGCTTATTTTGTGAGGCACTTGTTAAGTGTCCCATTACTAAAGGGGATTCTTGGACAGTGTGTAGTGTCTGCCATATTTAGGCATTTTAATGTAACAGAACCAGGATGGGATATTTGCTGGCTCCTGGTTGAACAGCAGGTGACAAGGTTCAGAGTTACCAGTTCTTAAGGAAACTGCAGTTCAGCAGAGATTTTTGTAGGAAGGAAGGGTAGGATATAATTTTTGCTGCTGGTGCTGCTTCTTCCTTGATGCTTTCCATATTTAAAAGAGTTCTCCAACTCCCCCAAATATGTGAGGGAGGAAGGGAGGGAGGAGGGAGGAAGGAAGGAGACAAAAATTGTCTTCCCTAACCAAATGTGTTATGCCTAGATCCCAGTATTTCAGCAAAACTGTTTCTTCCATCCTTTAAGCTTTCCTCCCCTCCTCTTTAGGGCTGAGAACTGATCAGTGTCAGTGATCAGGAACCTCAGAGTTCTGCAAGATTATGTGCTTTCACTTCAGCTGTTTATAGGGGCAACTGTGAGACTATGCCATCTTCACTTGTTGAATGCCACTGACACTTCACATTTATTAATTTAGGGCCTGATCTCTTGCCTGGACTACTGCAATAGTCTCTTCCTTTGTCCTACCTCTGATTACTAACTTTGGTCCAGAACTTGCTGGTATTTGCATGAACACCTTCTCCAAGTAGAACCAACTTTCTAGTATATTCATCCTGGATGGGAATGTTGGGAATATTCACTCCATCACCAGGGTGTAGGGAGGGTGTTTCCCAGTTGTTTCCAGCCCTTCCTCCCATGGAATAGTATTCCCCCAGAAATTAGGTCAGCAATAATTGAAGTCATTTCAAAACATTGTCAAGACAGTATTATTCTGCAGGGTTTTTGAAAGCTGAAGTTGCCTTAGACTGATGGGCACCATTTGATAGTTGCACTCATGTTTTAAATTATTTGACTTTTTATTGAATTATTAGGCTTTTATCTATATATTTTTTTTGTTTTTATAAGTGTAAACCACCAGGGATCTGGATTCTGGCAATATAGAAATGAATTAAATAAGCAAACAAGCAAACAAACAAATAAAATCACTGCCAGATAATTGCTTAGTTCTCCTGAATGGCCCAGGGCAGGGGCACTGCTTTCAGGCCATCCTCAAGTATGCTATTTCCTCAGGGGTGCACTCCTCTCACCCCAGTGATTCTGTTTCACGACAGAGGACTTGTCCTTAGTATGTAGGGCCAAAACAGCCATTCCTTCTGAACCATTAGACAGATTCCTACTAATGTACAGTACTTGGCATGTATGAAAGCTGCATCATATTGTCTCATATAATGTTCAACAAAATGACAGTTTATTTATTTCAGGTGTCATTATCAGAGAATGAGGATTCACAAGACTCTTCAGATAGCATAGACTCTTCCCAGAAAGCAAGAGGTCTCTTAGCACGCCGACCATCTTACAGGTCAGTACTTTATACTAAAATATAATTTCTTCTCAGATCTGTACTAGAGTTATTATGGAAAATAATATTTTGTGGTAAATTGGGATTCTTTGGAAAAAATGGAAGAATGCCAATACCTTTGGCCTCATCTATATTAGCCAAATGGGAAAAAAATTGGTCAAGGGCATACTTTTAAAACCATCTTTGGAAAACAATACAATAAATTCCCATAGGAAACAATAGACACAGCTTTTTCACTAACTGAAAAGGTCTGATTAGGTAGTGTCTATTTATTTTTTTACTTTCTCAACAGAAAGAACCAGTAGTGGACTTTTCAGTTTGTCGGTGATTCTTAAAGTGTGGTCCAAGGACCCCTGGGGGTCCCCCCCCTCAGGGGTCCACAAAATCAAAATTATTTGCCAGATATTGAAGATACTTGCTAAAATTTAAAACAATGTCACTCTTCTCGTGATTATTTTTTATTTGTTAAAACAATA